AATCAGTCATAGCAGAGACTCCAGGCCTTTCCAGAGGGGACAAGGGATAGGAAAGCCCAGGGCTCTGGAAGTGAGCGGGGTGACCAAGGAAAGACCCCAGGCGTGGCGGTCTGAGGGAGGAGTGGGCCGTCTGGGGCCATTGGGACGTGCACTTAGATGGTGAGGCTGCCATGAACGTGCGGATGTTGCGACTCACACAGCGCGTGCTTCTCGAGCTCTCTGAGAGACAGCTTCCGCGGAGGTCCAGCTGAGCTCTCGGGGTGCAGGATGGAAGGCAGAGGAACGTGGTGTCCCCTTAAACACGAGTTGGAAAACTGTAACCTCATTCCATCCCCCTCCCAGCCTGTGCTGACAGAACAGGCAGTGATGGGAACGGATGCTGGGGGCCTGCGGATCCCTTTTGGCCCTTGAAGTTCCGTGGTTCTGGGAGTCCAGTAGGCAGTTGGAGAGAGGGGGACGCGGAGGCCCCGTGAGAGTGGAGCGTGAGCAGTGTGGGTCTGCGCTTCCGCGGCATCGGCCTGCTAGCTGAGACACCGAGACTCGGAGGGATGGCCTCTCAGAAGAGTAAAACGACCCTGGGGTAGGAGAAGCCAGAGCGGGAAGGGGGAGCCGAGCAAGGTGGGGCCACCCACAGGGACACTCGTGTGTCTTGGCATGTCCTGTAAAGGACAGTGCCTGGGAGCTCATTTCAGAGAGGGGGACCACGTCGCATGCCACAGAGGAGGCAAAACCTGAAATGTCAGACTCCGGCCACAGAGGTGATGCCAATTCACAGCGACCCTCTGGACAGCATGGAGCTGCCCTTGGGGGTCTCTGAGGCCATAACTGTTTATGGGAGTAGAAAGCCCCTGTCTTTCTCCCACGGGGCAGCTGGTGGTTTCGAACTGCTGACCTTTCGGTGAGCAGCCCAACATAGTGTCACCACGCTGCCAGGGCTCCTTCTGAGAGGCCAGAAATGACCCTGGAATGTGTCGGGAGAGACGTAACAGGTAGATTTGAAGAATGGGGGTATCAGTAAAGGGAGGAGGGCCAGCCGGCGGGAATTATCTGTGTGTCACCCACGCCGCTCTGACGTCTTCCATGAGAGCGAAAGAAACCTGCAAGCCCTCCTCTGGTCCCCAGCTGCAGGTGGGAAGACCCCGTCTCCTGCGGGTCCTGAGCAGGTCCCCTCAAAGCCTGCAGTTCAAAACCACCAGCCGCTCCCAGAAAGAGTTTCTACTCCCACAAAGAGTGACAGTCTCTGAAACCCACAGGGGGCAGTTCGACGCTGTCCTGTAGGGTCACTCTCCGTTTCTGCCAGAGTGCTGCTTTCAGCAACCCCCCACGGTCCCCCGATCTGTGATGGTCAGGAGCATAGCCCTGCCCAGCCACCAGGAACGGTGACCACAGGGGGTGTGAGGCGGTGCAGGGCGGCTGTCTGAGAGCAGGAATCAGCCAAGAAGGAGCACCGGCGCCTGCTTTGGCTCTTCGATGCTCCTAGCTGGGGGCTGGCTTGCTGTCTGCCTTAGTCACGCGCAGGACCATGCGGTACAGCCGAGCAGGGCCGGCAGCCCTGCGCGTGTTGGTTCACGTGGAAAGGGGCCGCACCCGCCGAGCGGATGCAGATGACAGAAAGGACATTTAAAATCAGTCAAGAAGCCTTGCAC